GTTTAATGCCCCTACGCCTCTGCCATCAAAATACATTTGAGAATTAGGAAACGTGTGTTTTTCCTTCAACTTTATATTATTAGAATGTCTCTTGACACCTTTAGCTGATTCGAAGGGCTTTTTTGGCACAGTAATCTCAGTGCGGCATAAATTATTTTTGGGTGACACGAAAAATGCAATCTTAAAACTAAGTGATTATAACTCTTATTTCTACCAATGTATTCCGGATTGATAGTGTGATGATATGTGTATGTAATATATGTATAATAATATAATTAATTTCTATATAAAGTCATCTAAAAATATCTTAAAAGTAATAATTTGAACAATTAAAATGCATTAATATGCATAAGTATTACAATAGAAGGGCTGTGGCTTGAAATCCCATTTATAAAAGACATACCTGATATGATAGTTAGATCAGGACACTACTTCCTATGATATAAGTACATAATATATAATTGAGTTTATATGGCACCCGCAGCCCGCAGTACAATAAAAAGTAATACCGACTTTAATGAACTAGTATAGTTCTGATGGTAAGTGGATACTGGATACTATGGCCCATAGACATCTCCATTTATCCTCGATTAAGATTCAAAAAGCGGACGCGTTGTCACCCCTGACGGTTAAGATGGAATGTCTTGATTCCAGTTAGACATGCGTCAATCATGAATGATTCGTTCATTTGAGCTGGTACACTTAAAAGTATTGATGGTTCATTCATCTATTTTTGAATGTTCCGATACAACCAATCACATTCAATTGACGGAACCTTTTGAACTCGTGATTGGTATGAATTGTAAATCAGTCGAAAACCGACCGAATCCCGAATGAACTGAATGAATTGAATTTTAGTATAGGTACTGGAGCCCGAAATGATCCATTTGAATGATCGATCCGAAAGTACCGGTACGCGTGAGGAAATGTACTAGAATGATTCGGTCACGAGAAATGAATGATTGTCACATGTCTAATTCCAGTAAAGGGTCAAGTTCTTTACGGTCACCATACAAAACAGCATCATTAAGTAAAGTAAAAAAAGTTAAGTTGAGACATTGAGCTATTATGTATATTAATGACTTTATAATAGTAATAGTAGGTAACAATAATAGACATAATAATAGTACTACGTACGTGAAGTAATATGTATGTAAGTACATATTACTTCAATGAGTTGAGAACGTAGACAGAGAAACCTATAGACAAATTGACGCCTTCCTTCGCATTCGTACACGAAAAAGATAGATTTATGCATACGTCTTGCATAGAAATGTGACGGAGCGGTGTGATTGTTTGTCCCTTTCTCCGTGCTGGTTCTTTTTTTGTTTAGCAAACTACACTTTGCTAAACAATTTTGACAGTTTGTAGCAGTCTAAGGTGTTTACAATTTGTTTGAAATGAGAAAAAAAAGTGTTTTGTGGGCTTCAGATTGGTGAATCTTGTTCAGTTCAGTTCTTAGAACATTAAAATTTTTTATATAAATATGTTTAAAAGTCGTAAAGATTATTGTATAACCTAAAACTACGTTATCGTCCTTTCTCACTCTAGGCCACGCTAATCATTAGTCTCTGTCTAGGTTTAGAAGATATTTTATTACGTCGTTTAATTTTTTATCTTATAAAAACATCGGAGAATTCTAGCCACCGGCCAGTGTTCGCAAGTGTAGCTATGTATTTAAAGCATTGACATATATTACTAGCGCAATCTCGATTTTGAGTCTAAACTCCACAATGTCAAAATTTGTATAACATCTAAGGTAGATAGTATGTAAAATGTAGTGATTGAAAATTTGTCCAAGGATTATAATCCTCTTTGGTAGTCTACTTAATCATCTAAATATTTTAGAAATCTTGGAGTTAGACTTAGAGGTTATGATGTACACGTTGGTGCTCCCCGAGACATTCGAGGTTGGACGCAACTTGTTCTTTTTTTAACTCATTACGAGGGTGACACTGAAAGTTCTTAGAAACCAAAAACTGAACAAACTAGTAAGTTATTAATTTTATTACATCTTTTCAAAATAGTGTCCATTTACATCATTACATCGCTGCATCCGATGGAACTACGTCCATAAAACGTTTTCCTCAAAGTTTTATTTTTATTTTTGGAAATAAATAAAAATCGCAAGGTGCGACGTCGGGGCTATAGGGTGATCCAGTAATTCCACGTCTGATGTCGCCAAGTAGTCGATTGTTTGCGGTGTGCGACGAAGCGTTGTCGTGTTGAAGGAGGATCCTACTGTGAGGTCGTTTCTTCCGAACTTTTTCCAAGACTAGTGGCAAACAATTGTTAGTGTACCGCTCTACAGTAACTGTTTTTCGATCCTCGTAAGCAATTGTTGCGTAATGACCTGTCCTTCCAAAGAACGAGGCCACCTTCTTTTTTCCAACGATTTGGCCTCCCTTCACTTTAGTTGGCAACTCCTCGGAAGGAAACACCCAGACAGCAGATTGTCTCTTAGTTTCAGAATCATAACAATAAATTCAGCATTCGTTACCTGTAAGTACCTATGTCGAACACAGCATTTGAGCCACCTCCATTAAATCTTTGAACCATTTCACGACACCGATCAACACTACGGATTGAGCCTCTGTCAAATTATAAGGTATCCACCGGGCACAAAGCTTCCTGACCGCTAAATGTATGTACGCCGCATAACACTGATGTTATCTTCCGAACTTATATTGTCCGAAGGCCGTCCCTCACGCAGATCATCGGTGAGATTAGTGCGTAAACTCATTAAACCAGTTGTAAACAGTGGCAAGAGATGGGGCTTCATCGTGAAAGGCCATTCGAAGTCTGTCATAACTTTCTTGTTGACTTAAATGACATCGAGTCATAAAAAATCATTGTACGAAAATTTGCTCGTCTTAAATTCATGCTGACGTGACACAGACAATTTTCAATTTACCGCCAAATAGTAATGACAAATTAATAAAAATGTACACATTGGGTGCGTTTGGCAGAAAAAAAGCGCTTGCAAGCGCTTGTAAGCAAAATGGCGATCGTAAGCGGTAAGCGCTGTTAAATCGTAAATAGCTATTTTCCTCCAGGACACGATGTTAGTTTTAACCGGGGAATCTAACCTAATTTAAATATATGTTTGTAAAGTATTCATATTAAAAAATTACCAATCATGAGTTTTTAATAGCATGTATATGTTTATTCATGTCATATATTACTTAAAACTAATATTGCACAAAACAACTTATAAACTCTACTTCAAAACAAACAAATTAAATAAGCAAAATGGCGGATTGTGTCAGCGCTACTGAAGTAGCAATCGTGTCCTGGCCGAAAACTATTTTAGCGCTTATAAGCGCTTGCTAGCGCTTTTTTCTGCCAAACGCACCCGCCATTTTGCTTATTTAATTTATTTGTTTTGAAGTAGAGTTAATAAGTTGTTTTGTGCAATATTAGTTTTAAGTAATATAATAACATGAATAAACATATACATGCTATTAAAAATTCATGATTGGTAAGTTTTTAATGTGAATACTTTACAAACATATATTTAAATTAGCTTAGGTTCCCCGGTTAAAACTAACATCGTGTCCTGGAGAAAAAAGTGCTAGAAGAATCGTTAGTTTTAGGGGAAACTACCTAATTGAATAATTTCATATTAAAAATTTATCATGAATTTTTAATAACATGTATATGTCTATTCATGTCTTATATTACTTAAAACTATTGCACAAAACAACTTTTAACTTCTTTTGTATTGGCGAAAACTTTATTTAGTTTGCTGCGTTTTTTTCTGCCAAACGCGCCCAATAATATTGGCAAAGGGTTCCATTTTTAAAATATGAACAATTTTTTTTATTATATCGCTTACAAGTGGCCAGTTCTAAAAACTTTCAGTGTCGCCCTCGTATAAGTCAGTGCTTGACAAAGCTTGATGAAGCTATGGATGGTGTATCTCTTTGAGTAACAAACGCCTATCCACTATTGTATTGAAGACACCCAGATTGTATTCGGACGGAATGATTGACGTTGGCAAATTATTCCACTTCTTTGCTCTATTTATTATTATTTATTCTGTGATATTGCGAAAGACGAAGCAAAACGTTTGGTTATAATACCTACGCGAAATATCGACAACACAACAAAACGAACGAAGACCCGCCGACCGCCTGGTTGTCCGATGGTGAAATTAAAGCTCGTTTGTTTTATGTAAGTGACTAGTGCTTGACCATTTCGGGGACACACCTCCTTCGATATATATTATGTATAGTACGCATACTTCAAGGCGGTGTACAGACCGTGTTGAGGCGGTGTAAGAATATCTACTACCTCATATCGTTCCGAGAGTATTGTATGAGGCGACAGGGCGAAACAAATTAGATAGGTAGCAGCATGATCCAAATGACGACTAGAAAATAAATATAAAATCTTTGCTTCCAGTCCCTCCCACAAAACGTGTCATCTATTCCCATTTATAAAATTATCCGCATTATATAGATTTGTGTTATTATAAATGAAAAATCTTGTACGTTATATACGATATTTTATTTATCTACAATTTAATACAGATAATAAATACTAGCGCTTAATGTGAAAACATCAACTTGTGTAACTTTTTATTTAGAGTTTACTTGAAATGATAGAACTTTTGACGCGTTACAGAGTGCTACAGAATTACCAATCGATATACTTCGATTTTTTAATCAATGACATATTTATTAAAACAAAAATAGCACCTTTAGAATTTAACGAAAATTAATACGAAGTTATATATAAGGGCCTATTCACACTTTAATAATGACATACACTTCATGACATATATATTATTTCTTACGGAATAAATTAACAAAATGAATAATTATAATGACAATTAAAAAAGAACTAACTTTGTCTATGCTTAAGAACACAGAGCCATAAGTGTAAAATGTTATATTTTCTTAAGAACACATTATTGTTACTGTGGTGAGTTATATTTCTGAAAGTGGAGACTTGATAGTGATGAATGTAATCCGCCATCACCTGCCGTCCCGCGTTTATTTCGTACCGTTGTAGTAGGGGTTACCCTGGAATTAAAGAAAAACAAAATTTATTATACTAACTAGCATTTAAAAGAAAAAGCTATATCAATATGGTGGTGTTCAAATATTAAGCGGTAGAGTCACGCTGCAGATATATTATGATTGTAGCACGAATGGGTCGGCTCGAACAGGTCAGGAGTCAGGACCACGCTCTCACAGAATACCAGCATGCTGCTGTGTTTTTCGTATGGTGAATGTATAGAACCGGAGATCATTTTACTGGAAACGAGGCATTCTATCGCAGTCCTCAGGACTGGCAATGCATCTGCATTTTCATTCTTAATCGAGGATAAATGTAGATGTCTGTGGGCCACAAAATCCACTTATCTTCTCAGTTGGACTGTGTGCTAGTTTAACGCCCTTATTCTATATAAAAATAGTGTTTAGGTTTTTGCACCCATAGGACAAAACAGAGCCTTATTTTTTTTTTAAATTTATTAAATATTTATTATAAGACACCTTAACATCTGGATTACAAAAAATTACAAAACAAAAACAAAACATACAATGTGCGGACTGCTAATGTTACTCCGCTGTCTCTGTCGGTATTCATGGTTTTAGCTCATGAAGAGATGCTTCAACTTTATTTATTTGTATAGAGGTTATATATATTGTATGTATTAAAAAGGTCGTGTGTTCGAATCCGCCATTGTACTAAAAAACAATTACAATCATCTACATTACGATTTAATGTTTTCAGTACTATAACTACTTCAATAATTAGTTCATGGTCACGAAATTATTGTGTCGACATCGATTCTTGGTGCGTGGAAAAATTTGATATTATTCAGACGTCTGGAAGGTGAAAACTGAATTACAAAATTCCGTTACATTCATACAGGCCTATACTTATGTTCATACATGGAATACATACAGGTCAAGGTAATAAAAAGCGTGTTATAAACTTCTTTTTATATATAAAATAAGGGTGACAAACGAGCACACAGTCCACCAAATGGTACCTAAGTGGAAGCTGTGGCCCACAGACATCTACATTTAACATCGATTAGGAATTAAAATGCAGACGCGTTGTCAGCCCTGAGAACTGAGATGGAATGACTCGTTTCCAGTAAAAAGGGTCTCCGGTTCTCTACACTCACCATACGAAAAAGGATAAGCTACTATTCCTTTCTCAAGAAGTGTGATAGGAAGTGGTTCTTATTTTGAGCATTTTTGAGTTATCAATATTTCATAGTATAAATGGCTTTGATCTATGGCTTCATACAATAAATAAAATTGAAGTGTGTGTTTGTATTGTCAAAATCACAGCTTCTTACTAAATGCGTATGAAAGTACATACAGTACCCGGCGATAAATATTGCACATCGACCTTTGGAAAGAGACAATCAGCTAATTTCGGCTTCGTAGAGCGTTATCTCTGTCGCACGAAATACAGAGTCCGGTCTCTACTAGCTCGAACGTCAAAACGACACATAGGTAGTGTGCGTCTTTGTTTTGGCTAATGTCATAAATAGCTGGACCGATACTGAGGGTACTTTAACTAGCGTATAGCTGATGTTATAAGGAGTAACATAGGTTACTTTAATTTTAGAATAAGAAATAAGCGGCTTTCAGATTACGCTATAATATAATAGCATATAGTATATTAGCTCATAGCACAACAATATCGCGGAACATACATTGTTACTATCTTCATATATATAAATTACGTGTCACGTTGCTTTTCCGCGATGGACTCCTAAACTACTCAACCGATTTTAATAAAATTTGCACATTGTGTGCAGTTTAGTCCAACTTGAGAGATAGGATAGTTATTTTGCCCGTGAGTGAGCCACAATTTTTTTTTTTGCGAATTTAAGGATTTTTGACATGACAAAGGGTCGTCGAAAAGGGCAGAACAACGTCTGTATGGCAAGCTTAATTATAGTACAGTACAGTGTGAACGTGTCCATAACAATGTATGGTGTGCGATATTGTTGTGCTATGAGCTATATACTATAAGCTATTATATTATAGCGTAATCTGAGAGACGCTTTAGGGTTTTGCGCAAGAAAAAATCAAAACCCTAAGTTACACGCGGGCGAAGTCGCGGAACGTGAAACAGCTAGTAATACTAAATACCATATATTGCAAAAGAAACGTCGAAACTTCGATAGTGATATAAAATATACTTTTTCTTCGATAGTAATTGGCTTAGGTAATTAAATCAAAATTAATTTTCATCCGGACATTTTATTTTTATCCATGCGCGGGGCAAATGGCGGCGCTTGCCAGCAATCGGTCAATAAAGAGCAGCCGTCTTAATGGATTAAATTTAGAGTGGGGCTCGCGAGGATCAAGGTATCCGTGTCAAGGATGCGGTCGGACGCACTATGTGTACACGTGAACAAATAAGATGCACCTTACGCTGTGGACGCAAGATTGGTTTTCATCTGGCATAGAACAGTAGCATAAGGTGTTTCATTTGTTTTCACTAACCGAGCTCTAAAAACTAGGAGGTTCTATATTCGATACGTATGTTTTTATAGTATAAAACCACCGACTTTTTGGAAATGACCAATGAACCAATTTAAAATATCTTTTTAATAAATAGGTTATAGGTTTTCCTGTGGCATGTTGAACAGCAACACATAAGGTTTTTATTTGTTTAACCGAGCTCTAAAAACGAGGAGGTTCTATATACGTATGTTTTTTATGTATGTTTACCGACTTCTCGGAAATGACTGAACCAATTTAAACATTTTTTTGAATAAATAGGTTATACTTCAAAGGTTTTGAATGTGACCAATTTAGATACTCTAAATTCTAAACCTTGAACTTGTGATGTCAGTCCACTTAAAAGTACAAACAAACAAGGTTAAACAGTATTAACCATGCTTGTTCAAAAAATCCGATTGCGTAAACAAATTACTAATATGTAATAATACCTTTTTATATACGATTACATAAGAACTTTACCACAGCTTTGTTAAAAATTTTGAGATTTAAGTGATTTAAGCGAGAATGGTCGCTAGCCAACTTTAAATCGTTATAGATCCTAAATCGTCATTCAAAATGAAAAAAAAGCCAAGAGAAACCTTATTATGATTTTCAAAGACCTAATCAATGATATCCCACTTGGCATGGTTCGTCGACTTTATTTTTTTTCTTTTATGCAATATGGTGTATTTATATATCACATACATTATTTATCACGTGCTCGAAGGTGAAGGAAAACATCGCGAGGAAACCTGCTTGTCTGAGAAATAAGAAAAAATATTTGGAAGACATGTGAAGTTCGACAACACGCATTCGTAAATCGTGGCGGACACTTTCTTGTCTTAAAACCCTCTCAGATACGAGGGGAGACCTGTGCCCAGCAATGGAACGTACATTTGCTGTAACTTTTTTGTAACTATAAACTATTGCACAAAGAAACTATGATATTATAAATAGCAATAGTGCTATGAAAATAGATTAATTAGCACAATTATTATTGTCCACTGCTTTATATAACTTCACGACTTGCGGCCAGTACAAGCCGTTCATTGTAATGCGGTGTATTTTTGCAGCACTACAATGTCGCGATATCTTTTTTTATATAGAACAGGGTGACAATCGAGCACACAGTCCCTCTAATGGTAAATGACTGCTGTGGCCCATAGACATTTACATTTATCTTAGATTAAGGATCAAAATGCACGTGTTGTCACCCTTAAGGACTAACTATGATGGAATGCCTCGTTTCCCGTAAAAAGGGTCTCCGGTTCTCTACACTCACCATGCAAAACACATCAGCATTAAGCTTCTTCACATGTCTTCGCAATATATATTTTTTTAATTGTCATACATGCAGGTTTGCTCACAATGTTTTCCTTCACCGCCGAGCATGTGGTAAATCAGCACTTAAAATTTCAATCAACAATTTCGTTCGTGCTGGCGGGGATCGAACCCTGGTTGGTCGCGTACTGTGAAATTTACAGCGATCGTTTAGCCAATAAGCTACCGCGATCATTATCATTGTTATATTCAATAGTTTAGATCATACGAATTTCCATAAATCTTTTCTTAATTCACATAATATAATATCGATCCACCTCGGCCACACAGTCAACCTGATGTTAAGTGAATACTGTGGCTCAGACATCTACATTTATCTTCAATTAAAAATCAAAAAGATGGAATGCCTCGTTTCCAGTAAAAAGGGTCTCCGGTTCTCTACACTCACCATACGAAACACAGCAGCATTAAGCTACTATTTACGCTGGTATTCTGTGAAGGCGTGGTCCTACCCCGGTCGAGCCGATCCATTCGTGCTTCAACCACAATTTAACCAGGAGGCAAAATATCTAATTATAAAAAACTCGCGCGTGCCCCTGACATATTATGCGCAATAAAATATACGAGCCAGATCAAATGAACGAAACAATGTTATTGTTCAGTTATTTCATTTATTATTATTCATTGTGATTAAACTGTTTAAGAAATATTTAAAATTTGTATTTCTTATATTTTTTCTCTTTCTATTTATAAATTCCTAAGATTTTCAAATTTTCCCTATTTCCCTAAGAGAGGGCTAAAATTCCGGACATTTCAGGAAAATTTCATCTGGTTAACCCTATTTAGGAGTTGTGAGACAAAAACACAAACTGGAGAATTATATGTATAAAGAATAAAGATTAGAATCCTACTGGAACGTATATATAATATACCAAGGTAATAACTTCGATACACGTAATATAGAGGTAACGTGTAGGGAGACCATGAAAAGGTAAAAATGATTTTTTTTATAGATTTCCTGTCAGTTTTCTCTTGGCATATATATACAACGTCGTTATAAATTTGTTTTTACAAATACACTAGAATAGGCGCTGACAAAATCCAAATAGACTTGTCTACAACAATTTTTTACTCAGTAGTTTATGGTAACGGAAAAAATACATATAAAATATATAAACATATATTAGCGTGGTAGAGCCATGCTGCATCTATATTATGGTTGCAGCACGAATGTGTCGGCTCGACCGGGGAAGGACCACGCTCTC